GCAAAAGGAATTATCTACAGATTAACATCTTCAAAACTACAGCTACCCTGGGAAGCCTGTTGTTGGATATGAATTAACATCCATCTCCAAGTAAACCATCTCACAACTAAATTACTATTTGAAAACTAAAGAATGCTTTCAATATATATTTCTGTATGTTAAACCATAAAACATGTCCAGTATATAAATAGGTTTCTTCACTTGTATTATGAAAATTGTCTTCTTAAACTACTATTTCAAATATGTTAACCTAACATAAAAAAGGGGAATATTTCTGTAAAACTAGACTGTTTTACACATGTCATTAGCCATTTAAGAATATCTACTGTAAAAAACAAAGGTATCTTTTATGTTTTAATCATTTTATTGTGGAACCAAAAGTCTGTTTTGTATATTGTCTTTAATGTACAGAAAACCAAATAAGCATAAAGCTAAAGCATATTTTACCTATGTACTGTTGATTATGTAGTTATAAAACTAAACATTTATTTCATATGTTTTCCCCAGCATAAACTCAGCAATATGAATATTAAACTAGAAGCGTTTTATTTTACTTCTCCTGGTTATAAGTTAATAATTTTTCAAAACAAAAGAATAGGGATCCCTTTTTCTTTCTTTGTAATACATTTTAGTGTTAAATGGTATGTGTTGTACTGTGATAACTAAGTCTCTGTTAAAGGGTATTTGTTATATATTATGGTGTTTTTTTGTTTTGTTTTTTTTTGGGGGGGGGGTTAAAGCTTAAAGTTGGAAATGGCCAGATGTCTTTTCCTTTTAGATTAAAAAGGCAAACATTTCTTATTTGGCAACAGTTTTTAAATTATATATGTTCAACACATGCTGATTCTCTAATGATCAGATAAGTGGTTTTTAATTGAGTTGTGCATGTTCTTGTATTAGCCTGGCCCACTGAAAAAATATAGGCATATTGATCGCATATTATTTTTCAGCTTTTATATATAATAAACTTCTTTTGTATCATTTAATGTAAAATAATTAAAACTTCTAGAAACACAATAATATTTGATTTGTTTTAATGACCATTTAACAAAATGTTAGATCAATTTCAATATTTTAATTAATTGGTCCCACTTAAAATTTTCCACATAGACTGAAGAGAAACAACATTTATATTAAGTCAACATGATTAATGAAAAAGTATACATCAAAATATACACTAGAATTATAACCTACTTTCTTCTGAAAAAAGGGGACTTTACATAAAACAATAAAATTAACTACAAGGGAGAAGTAATAGTATTACATTATGCTAAGAAAATGAGTATAAAATGCCATAGATATTAATCAAAATTATTAATATTGTTTAACAACCTTTTCAAGTTCAAGTCAGCAAAATGACAACACATAGTAAAGGGAATGTCAACAGAATAAAAACATCCCTTGCTTGTACAACTGTGTTCCTCTGAGTAACCACTTACCAAAGTAGAGATGGCCAACCAGTGCCACACAAGACAAAAACTTCTAGCACACCTTTCATTTAGAAATATCACTTGTTATAGTACATAAAACAAATTTTGTTTAGAATTTTAGTACATCCATGAAATTAGATTGACTGGATTATTTAATTTTCAGTGGGAAGCAATGTTTGATTTAGAAGCATAAAGATCCCTGAGAAATATCTGCAGGTGAAAACCTCAGGTCTGACAGTGCTTAAAGAAAAACAATGAAAGAGGATATTTTGTTGGCAGAAACATCCAACAAAAAATCCTTCTGCAGATGGAAACCTCAGGTCTGACAGTGCTCAAATAGAAACAATGAAAGAGGATCTTTTATTGACAGTAGCTCCAACAAAAGATCCTTCTGCAGGTGGAAACCTCAGATCTGACAGTGCTCAAAGAGAAACAATGAAAGAGGATCTTTTTGGCAGAAATCTCCAACAAAAGATCCTTCTGCAGGTGGAAACCTCAGGTCTGACAGTGCTCAAGGAGAAACAATGAAAGATGATCTTTTGTTGGCAGAAACCTCCAACATACAGGATCTCTCACACTTCTCTCTACTTTTATCACTTACTCCACTTAAAGTCTAACAAATTCAGGACAACATTCTGAACATAGGTCATTACCCTATATCATAGGGTTGAAATTTGTAGCGGACTTCTCCTTCCTTGTTTCTTGAATGAAAGAACACCTTGTTCTCAATAAGGTCCCAGCAAAGAGGAAAAAATCAAGTGAAAACCGTGTGAGTGGTGACACTTGACTGCTAAACACATTTGGTTGTAATATATCGAAAAGGAGCAACACATGAACCAACATTTTAGTGTGAGACTACATATAACACTAAAAATTTTCATATTAATAATGACATTTGTATGATTATAACATTTTTGGTGAATGGCACATTACTCAAAATTCAGAACCTAATATTATCACAACTACTAAAAAGCTTAGCCACCCTTACCCAAAAGGATAAGAAGACAAAGAAAATATTGATCTGAACATATAAAGTAGTTTAATTTATATTATAAATGTTACATGAAAAATCACATACATAACGTAAAAAAAAAATGTGTAAGAAGAATAAAATATTTCAATTAATATTACAATTTGAAAATTTTAATTATGTTATTTGTTTACTAAAGTTAAATTTGTTTCAGTAACCACAAATTAAGTGGTGAGGCTTGCCTACTTTTATACATGTAGTTTCACTAAACTTAATTCTTCAAATAGAGATTTTCCACATGAAGTGCCCACAAAAAAGTCTATACTGGAACTGACAATTATAAACATTTGAACATTATACAGTGCATTACACACTTATATAAGTGCTTGTTTCAAGCTGTTATTAGATGTTACTGTGGTTGAGGCATTATATTTCCTACTAATACAAAGATGATGAATGAAAAAAGCAAGTTAAAAAATCTTTTATGGCTTTAATAACCGTACCCAACTTTACTGTAATAGAAAAACAAACATTGCTTGGTTATCATCATTCTTTTCATAAGATCAAACAATTCTCCTCTTCCACAAATTGCTAAGATATATTTCACATAAATCATACATTTAATCATTATTGTGCAATATAACCTTAAAGTTAACATAATAATAATTAACATCCCTTTAATAAAGGAACTATTATATACATTAACATTTTAGTTGCTACTTTTCCCAGTCTTATTTAATTAGTGCATAAAGGTAGCACAACTACTTTTCTAGGGTATGTTTCACAAACATATACTTGTATTTAATAAAAACCACTAACTTATGGTACACTGTGAAAAATAGAAAAGTCAAGAAAAAACATGCAAGTTTAGGCAACATATGAGTAACATTTTATAATTTTTTTTTCTTGTATCACCAACAGTAAATTGTGATATAGAAAAATGAGGTATAGTATATTTTTGTATTCATTAGTAGACATACCCATGTGATACACAGTGGGTGGTTTATGAAAGTTAAGAAATTATTTATATGATTCATTTACTAACTTTATACAATCATTGTTTTGTTTTATCTATGACTGCATCTTTACTGGGGTTTGTGGCTACCTATGCGCTTACAACATTTTTTCTTTTAGTTGTAATTTCTGTTTTTGATAAGCTTCTCTGGTGTACTTTCTTTGCCATGATCACACCCTGAATGACAGTGTAAAATATAGTTCTTTTATCAGTTGTACATAGTAAAAAATTGTGTTTATTTTGTTTACAACATTTCACCAGGTTTACTATTGTACAACCAATAAAAAAAAAGTGTGGGAGTTTTAAAAACACAACTCTTTCTAATATTTAAATAATGTGTATATTCAATTGTCTTATCATAAAGCACACAGTTGATAGGTATTGTTATGAGGTGTTTAGATCAATGAATATTATACCCCTCAAATGATTGATAAGATTTGGAAACAAAATTTTTAACAATTATGAACATAAAAATGTGTTTGATTTTTCTGAATTGTGTCAGTGGCAAAATAAAAATTGAAAGTACATAAAAATAAATCTATTCATGTCCACTGGGCTTGATTATTTAACTAACATTTTATTTTGTATTTTATTTTTTTTACTGAAAAGCAATAAGTAACATGTGGCATAAAAACATCTCACTTAATATAGGTGTGTGTATCTTGAAAGTATATAAACAAAGTGTGAAAAAGAAATCCCTCAAATGACTAATAGGAGTTGGAAAATGAAATAAAATTGTAGAATTAATATTTTACTAGTTATTAATATAAATGGAGTTTCTGTTTTTGTCCCAAATATGTCAGTTGTGAATGAAAGTTCAAAGACTGTATGTATACCCTATGCAATGAAAAAGGAAACTAGAGAAATCCTATCAGTATCCCTAGTGGCCACCCCCCACTGACTGATCTGGTTTTAACCATCACTCCAGCTATGAACTCTGTGCTATTCAAAATAAAAATTAATTATTCTTGACACATCTTAAATAATTTCTAGTTGATTAAACCATATTTGACAGGTCCAAATCATATGCAACAGCCTAGAAGTAGAAGTTAGAAGACAAACAAACACACAAACTTCTCTCAAAGTTTGAGTCAAATTATAGAAGGATTTCATATCACTGAGTTGGACAACTTTCAGAGAATTTCACTTCTGTAAGTAATTCTAGAGGCAGGCAATCCAAAAACAAAACCTGCTTCTTGTAGCAGTGATTTAGAACAACTCCCAAAAAATACCACATAAATCTGTATGACTAACTTGTATTATAAATAAAATAATGCTGCACCTCTTCTGTTCAATGATATTAATTCATTATAACCTAGAACATGTATGTTTATCATTTAGTGCATAATCGAAATAAAATATAAATGGATTTAAAACGATCAAAATACATTTATTAATAAGAACAACTTCTATAAGAATTTTAAAAATCTATCATACAAATTTGGTAATTAATGGCTAGATAGTTTCAACAATTTAAGCAATAAGTAAATAAGGCTTAAACATACTTTACATTTACAATGCACCAGTCAAAACATGTTACAACAGAATATAAGATCCATTTTTATTCAAAGTATTGGTAACTTACCTTAGAAATTCCTTTTATTTTTCTGTACACCTGGCAAATGTTTGTGTTTTCTTTTTATCAGAAATACTGAATTATCAGGCAACCAATACTGGTGTTTGTTTTCTTGAACACTTACTCATTACTTTATCATTTGGATAAAATAAAATTGTCACAAAATGTACAACTTTAAAAAATGATTAAAACATTAGTTTGCTAACAGTAACATGACTACCAAATACAGTGAAAAACTGTGAGTTGTAACACTTAATTTCCAAACAAGCTTGGTTGTAAATGGAAAGTAGCAACATCAGCACCAAACTTGTTAGTTGTAGTGTGAGACTACGATACAGATAACACTAAAAAAATTCAAACGAGTACTGGAATTTGTATGATTATACAACTACAAGTTTCATTTTAAAACTGAAGGAAAATGACTATCATTTTCCAGTATGTACCGTAACATATTGCACTATAACTGGCTTACAACACGAATACATTACATTAATTTACTGTGAAAAGGTAGTGTAAAACCAACGTTTGTTTCCTATTGCCACATACTTTACAACGTAATACTCCGGAAACTAACGCTAATCAGTTTAGCGATGACGTCACTTGCAACCTTATTTCGATGAACGTCATGATCTGCCCCAAGTCAGCATGATGTCGGACATTCAAGTACCTAACCGTAATGGGCGAAATGGCGTTCCAAGTGCAAAATTGATTTACGGAGGTGTAGCTAACCAACCAATGGTTGAGTTTAAAAGCCTTCTTAAAAAAAGAAAAAATTAACTTATGAAGCGTATATTAATTAAAGTTGGGCCATAAAATTCTGCAAGTGCTTCTAATTCTATTCTTTATGATATTAAACTTCGTGAAATTTACTCTAGTATAAACAGTTAGCTATTTACTATATTATTTTGCAAGTTATATTTTAACTTTGAGAACGGTGTGGAAAAAAACAACAAAGAACTCCTGTCATGCTAGGCTGAGCATTTGTAAAATAGTCCTAATGCAATGATTCACCATGTTATCTCAATAATTGTTTGGCTCTGTTAACTGATGCACACGCACGGTGTTTACTGAGAATGGATGGCATTGTGTTCTAAAATAACAAGTTCTACATCAGTCCAACAGTTTCCGGTTTTGCTTGTAATGTTTCAAACTTCCAACACTTCTATTAAATTCAACAAAGAATATTCTGAAACTTTATCATACATGATGAATATAGACCTAAGTACCTCTCACCACTATATCTATAATCTAGTAAATTCGTTATGTAATCTATGGCCACTTACTACTGAGCAAACCGGTAAATAGGTATAGTATTTGTTTTCTTTTTAAAAAGTTTTTATGTAAAAATAAGATCAGTGCTGTATATTTTTATATCTGTATCTGTGGAATTGTTTGTGAGAACAAGACTGTTTGTTCATAATAAACGACAAAAAGTGAAATACTTGCTGGAGGAATAAGAAAACATCTAAGTTTCTACATACTGTTACGTCTCTGTTCGTTTGTTAATTTCCGGTATAAATCCTTTCCGAGGAACTTCAGCGATACAAGTCCTTTCTTAAATAAAACTAGTTTATTCTTTCTCGATACAACTTTGTAATACACTTAATTTTTACAGTCACTTTAAACTTAGCAACCTTTATAACACACGCTATAAATCACAGTGATTCACACACTTTACTTACGGTGCCTACGGTTTACTTGACTCAATTATCTCTATCTTCAATCTATCTGCATATCTATTTATCGCTGGCTTATATACTAAAAAAAGAGGGCGTCTAGCAAACACTGGGACATTCGCGAGGTTCCCCGATAAGTCATGATCCTTCTAGAAACTCCAGCGCGCATGCTCCCAGCGTCGCGTTACTTTCGCTGTCGTAACAATACATAATAGACATTGCCTGAAAACGGCCACTCGCGTGTGCGATAATCTGTGATCAATTGTAGCGCGCTTAATATGCATGATGATAAAATAGATTTTCCTAGCTACCGGACTGAACAATATCGGAGAGCAATTGTGGACTTCATCTACTACATTCAAGTATTAAAGCAAAAACCAAGGAGGGAGGTAGAGGTCCAGGATGCACTTGACCCTCCTGGGTCACATGACCAAAGAACAATCTGACAGAAAAAAAGTCCAACGAATTTAGAACAACACTATGAACATAAGTCATTACCCTATATTTTGTTGAAATTTGTAATGGACTTCTCTTTCCTTGTTGATTGAGTGGGACAACATTCAGCTTGTTCTTAATAATGTGTCAGCATTAAAGACAAAAGCAAAGCAGACGAAATTATTACAAATTAAAATTATACTGCCTCAAATACCAACAAAAAATAAATCCCATTTCCATTTTTTAACAGTTTTTGAATATACTGAACTTAATACTATGTTTCTGCCCAAAGTAATTTGCATAAAATGTAGATGTTCTAATTTTTTATTTTTTAGGCTCAAGTATTTTTTTGTATAATCCATTTTTCATTTTACTTAATACTACAAATTTGTTCCCAACAATTCCTTTCGTGTTTTGCCAAGTATGATGAAGTGTATGTTTCAAAATCATGGTGTTATTCAGAACCATAAATTTATATTAAAATAACTACCAAAGATGAACCGTTACCAAACTATATAAAAAACTGCCAAAAATGAGCTGTTATAAAGCTATATAAAAATTTGCTTACGCAGAAAATTTCCCAGTGGCTTATCAGCAAGCTTACGGACTAAAATGTAGCCAATGTAGATACACTTCAAGAACATGTTTTAGTTCTACAGAGGGAGAGAATGTTGTGGAGATAAGCATAGCATAGGAGTAGCGATTGTCATTCCGTCTGCGAAAGTATGCACACTATGCTTTCTGTTTGTTTGAGCGATAAAAGAGTTATCCAGACTCATTATTTCACATTTAAAGAAACTCAGTCAAATTATCAACGACAGAAAACTCCCCTTAGTTTTGATCGAATCTGCTGTTACTTGCGAATTTACTTATCTTATCAAAAAGGTTAAATCTCACTCAGGAACTTGTCCTGATCTCCGGCTGTTATCAGCGTATGTGAATAAGAATAATGATACATTCCCTCTGGACGGGATGCCAGTCCGTTTTAGGTTAACCTCTCAGCTGGTACCCGTCATAATGCTAGAGTGACTGAAAATTGTGATAAAGTGTCTTACCCAAAGAAACAAAAGCATGTTGTGAGCAAGTTTTAAGCTCGAAATCCTCCGATTGATATTTGACGGGAATTAATACCACACATTGAACCCTTGTTAGTCCGTACATCGACAATCTGGATAATTGTTCGTGTTGACAAATATTTAAAACAGGAAATTTAATCAATAACTTGCATAATCGCGTTCCGAACCGGAACTGCCATTTCCTTTAACAGATATTAATTTCCTATACATACATGAGCCGGTAATCTGAACATGATTCCATTTAAAGTCAGCTCGATCTGAACACAAAACGAAGTATAGATACATAAGCCGGTAATCTGTACATGATTTCATTAAAGTCAGCTCGATCAGAACTCAAAACGAGGTGACAGTTGTTGACCACAAAATACCTGCACTAACTAGTGGTACCAATTTACAGTAGTTTTTATGAGAATAACTTTTACTAACATTGAGTATAGGTTTACGACAATTTTTCTTAGAATGATCTTCAAAATAGGATATACGCATATAAGTTATAACAGGTATCGAGAGGTCATCAGGGTGATTCATGTTAAAGTCATGTCAAGTCACAATGGATGCTAGCATAATCAACTCATTCAAACCTTACTACCGCTGTCAACTGAGTAGAAACTATACTGAATATACAGAAAATAAAAATCCATAAAATGTAAATGTCCGTGAGATTTTACAAATGATAAGTTTCTAATTATTATTGGAATCAAAAACTGCTTTCAACATGTCAAGATTTTGCCACAGTTTGAACACAGTGAACCTGTTCAGATGTCAGAAGTCGTTAATGGGATTGCTTCTAGAATTCATACTTTAATCTGAAATATTAATGATGCCATGTGAGCTGATCAGTTGCTCAACATCGACTCAACAGAATCAACTGGTCAAAAGTTGTCAGATGAAGACATCATTCCCATTATGTCTCTTCAGCAGTGTGGTTACTGTGAATCTGACATGGAAAATGATCCACCAGTCAAGCAAGTCAGTTTGAATAAACCACAATCTAACCTTAAAGATGTCATCATATGGTTCAACCAAAATTATATTTTATGTGAAGGTAATGAAATGCTATTTTGATTAAGCAATTTGTATAATTATTAACGATGTATAAAATAATGAACTGATATGATCATACAATTTGAATAATTATTGACGTCGCATAAAATAATAAACTGATATGATCATACAGTTTGTACAATTTGAATAATTATTAACGATGTATAAAATGATAAACTGATATGATCATACAATTTGAATAATTATTGACGTCGCATAAAATAATAAACTGATATGATCATACAGTTTGTATAATTATTAACGATGTATAAAATAATGAACTGATATTATCATACAATTTGAATAATTATTAACGATGTATAAAATGATAAACTGATATGATCATACAATTTGAATAATTATTGACCTCGCATAAAATAATAAATTGATATGATCATACAATTTCAATAATTATTAACGATGTATAAAATGATAAACTGATATGATCATACAATTTGAATAATTATTGACCTCGCATAAAATAATAAACTGATATGATCATACAATTTGAATAATTATTAACGATGTATAAAATGATAAACTGATATGATCATACAATTTGAATAATTATTGACGTCGCATAAAATAATAAACTGATATGATCATACAGTTTGTATAATTATTGACGTCGCATAAAATAATAAACTGATATGATCATACAGTTTGTATAATTATTGACGATGTATTAGATAATAAAATGTTAAGTTTATTGTATATACAGTTGCTTTTTGTTTCCCAGTTATATACCCACCTTTATATTTACGATCGATAAGGTATAATATTAATGGTGTCCATTGAATTGAAAATGACTTATTTAACTATACGAATGTCTCGATAATCTGAACAATAACGTTCAATGCGTTCGGACTAACGAGAGTTCATCGTATACAGTAAGTAAAAGAAAAATCAATTGATAGTTTGTTTGAAAAAAAAAGATGTTATTACACAAGAAGATACAATAATATATTATTTATACCGAAATAAATATGGAAAGGTGTAAAAACACTCTGAGCTCAAGAGGACTATTCATATTTAAAATCATTATATTTTATTGGGGTATTAACCGTTGTTACAGTCCACAGTGTAATATATTGTTTCTTTCGGACATTCGCGCAAAGGTTTACCTAAGGGCTATCTGCGCTAGTCGTCCCTAATTTTAAATTTATATACTAAACTGTAGGCGATTAGTCAATAGCACCTACCACCAACTCATGGGCTACTGTAATCGAATAGTGAGATATGAATGCCATTTTACTAACGCACCCCGGCCTTAAAATGAGGAGCGCCATTTTCCGGCATCAGGAAGAGAAACACGCACCTCCGACACACCGTCCGGCATGCTACCTACT